CCTCCGACTAAACAGCCAGGTTCATTAACCACTAGACCAACAGGCCTGTTAAAACTAAAAGTATATTTTGTAGAAGTGAACTATAATAACACCAATAGAATGTGCTTTATTAAAGCTAGAGTACCGATAGAATATGTAGTTTACTCTTATCATTAAACAATAGCAAGAGATAAAACATAGAATGAATCATTGCTGTTGAGTGTCAATGCATTCCTTTTATTGATGTATTTAGAAAAGAATATCGTATCTAACGTTAGGGTATCAGCAAATATAACTATTCGAGATTAAGAGCACCGTGTAAGCGCTAAGTATAATAATATGCTAGCTACTACGGTCTACCACCATCTACCGAACACGTTACAAAATAACGAAACGATGAACTGAATCAGCGCCATCTCTGTTGCAATTTAAAAACAAATACTGCCGTTATGTACTTGAAAGTACAGCAATACTCAAAGAGATGGCACTAGCATAGATATGTAATAAATAATTCAAAATAGAAAGGTACCTGAAATATGGTGTAGGTCCTTACTGCTCTGTTTCAGTCCTTTGACCAGTGACAGTGACATTATCATGGCCTGGTGTACAATGTCAAGAAAAGCGAGGTTATGGTTTTTGAGGCTAGGGGCAGAGGCTAGAGGAATATGCCACAGATACTTAAATAGTCAACCATTAAAAAGAGTATTTAAGTTTTAATATTTATATTTATATAAAATAATTTTTTATTAAATAATTTATATAAAAATTTTTTTAATATTTATATAAAAGAGTATTTAAATATCTAGGGAATATTTTGACTCCCAACCCAATAGTGCTTTAGGTATGTTCACAAATGCGAGTGGGCTGCTTTCACACTACTAAGCGAAAACGGTGTGCATCTTTGGTGCGCAGGGTGCGGGCTAGCTTTAACAGCATGCTAGCCATGATTGCAGAGAGCTTAGATTGTAGGTACATTGGCTACTCCAGCGCTGTCTCTCACGGAGTGCATAAATAAACTATTGTAAACTGTCTTTACTAACATAGGATAAGTTTTATGTAAGTATTACTGACATTCAATAAGTCATGGTTAATTTAATAAAATAATATATTGTTATAATTATTACAGACAACTGGTATTGATAGTACCTAATGTATTGGTAATATGTTTCGCTCAATCTATTTATAATTCAAAATCATCATCATATCCACTGCTGGACTTAGGCCTCTCCCAAGGTTCGCCGATTGTTATTGTACCTTCTTATTAAACGGCTTCCCGCGACCTTCACCAAATCGTTGGACCATTTTGCAGGGGACCTGTTCATGAAGGAAAAGTTGTGTGCCCCCATAAATCAATACATTAACAAAACGATATTGATAAGCGCTAGGAATTGTCGAAAATGTAACAACTTTACGATATGATCACTATTGATCACTAATGTTTGACAATATCAGGAAGTATAGGCGACCAAGAAATTGGTTTACCACTTTTGATGACATCTCCCAGTAACATAATTATTCGCTAAGGATTACTGTATTACATTAACGTAATTGGTTAACTGTGAGCCAATCACAGGGCAATGGTTAAAAGAGCATGCAACTTGAACTGTGATGTCAACGCAATAGAGAATATTTTATGTAAACACAACCCAACTTGTCCTTATAAATCAAGGAGGTTTATGCTAGATACCATACTTAAAAAAACTAATTCATTTTCGAATCGCTTTTGACTTATGATCTGTCAAGTGTCAGTTATTGATCAACTCGAGTCACTTACTGTCAAGAAAATGGCGCGTAATTTAAACTTACAGGAAAGAGCCGAAATTATATCATTACATCGGTTAGGATACAACATAAGTGATATTTCTAGAGAACTGAACGTATCGCGATATACGACACGTTTTTGGATAAGACGTGAAGGGGAAGAAGGTAATCTTCAAGATCATAGGCGAAGTGTTCGGCCGCCTGCACTGTCCAGCGAGCAAAGAGAAACAATGAGACGTCAGTACGAAGAGAACGGCTTCACTTCTACCAGCGATTTTGCAGAAGAATTCGATCTTAGGAAAGAGACCATTCGGCAGCATTTGCATAGCATGGGATTGCATTACAGACGTCACGCTAAAAAGTTTATTTTACCGACGCTAACAAAGCGGCTCGTTTAAATTTTGCCCGGGAGTACTTGAATTTCGATTGGTCTACTACGATATTTACGGACGAAAAAACGTTCAAATCTAGCGTTACAATAATACTAGACATGTTGTGACGACCACGGTGTCTGGTAGAATCAGTGTAAATATTTGGGGCTGGATGTCGGCAGATGGAGTCGGAGAATTAAGCAGACTACCTCCGAAATCCAACGCTTTAGATTATGTGGATAATTTAGAAAATGCTATGTTGCCAACCGTCCGGAACGTCTACCCGGAAAGCGATCTGCCTCAATTTAATTTTCTACAAGACAACTGCAGATTACACACAGCTAGAGTGACTCGTACCTGGTTTGATCAACATTCATTCATTAACTTGATTCCATGGCTGTCTAAAAGTCCAGATCTTAACCCGATCGAAAACCTTTGAGGACTTATGGTGCAGCGATGGCATCACCGCAATGAGAGAACTCGAGATGCCATCGATAGTCATTGCCATGAAGTTTGGGAGGCTTTGCGCGGGACAGACATTTGTTCACGCCTCGTTGGCTCTATGAAAAGTCGCTTGTTAGCAGTCACCGAAGCTAATGGTGGAAACACTCGTTATTAGGCTGATATTTCCCTATATTTTTTTTTTTACAATTAAATGATACTGTTACGTTTTATGAAGGACAATAAATTTGTTATTTTTAAATGATAAATCATTGTTTATTATTAATCCTAAAACCCTTTACGCTACTAGCAGGAAATGGGACGTTTTTAAATCTATTAAAAACATATATAATAAAGTTTAATTCCCTGGATTCAAAATTCAATTATTTTACGTCGAAACTAAACAAAACGTTTTATTGCACATAAAGTAGCAGGAGGTTAAATAGCAAGCCATCAGTTCTGAGTTTAAATAAACAGGAATGACAGATTCTGACGTGGCAGTTATTAATCTGTCAAGCGAAAATAGCCCTTGATGTTTTGTACGTGCAAATGATATTTAGCCTTGGAGTGGTAAACCAATTTCTTGGTCGATAATACAAAGTCTTCAAACATTTATACACGTTTATTTGTTTGTGTTATATATATATATATATTCTACCACATGTATACAACGCCATCCAGTCCCAAACTAAGCAGAGCTTGTACTATGGGTATAAGACAACTGATTTATATACATATATACATTTTTTGTAAACACATACATATACATAGAAACACCCAGACCAAATGTTTCATTTGAGCGGGAATTTAGCATAGCAGTTCAGTAACACAAACCACTACGCCATCCAGCCGTCGAGGAGGGACAAAATAGTTGGTAGACTATTTCGTCATAGCCGTAGAACAGTATCAGATCTGACATTTATTAAACTTTACAGGGCAGCCATTTCAAAGAATTATGTTAGTTTTTTGACATAACTTTTTTAATTCTAAATCTGTAATTATGAAAATTGGCATACAAGTGAAAAATACAATTTTCTAGAAACACCTATCCAACTAATTTTTTTCTTGAATGTAGAAATAATATTTTGACTATGTGGTATCCAAATATGGTATAAACGTACTTTCGTTTTTTTTTTCAGAACCGTATCGTAATACCGATCGTAAAATAATGTCGTTATTCTACGATCGGTATTACGATACGGGTATACAATATATTATAATTATATACGATACGGGTTTAATAAAATAAATTCTGTGGAATTGTACAAGTGACTTTAATTAATACAATAAAATTGATGGTACTTAATAAAAATTCTATCGTTTATGTGTTATGACCTCCACATAAGTGGACCCGCCTCATTCTTCACTGCATCGCCCTATCGATCGAGTGCCTTAGGCATTAAGTCCAATAATATGTGTATAATAAATACTAATTAATGATGATTATGATAATTGACCTGGTCAGACCATTTTATCCAGATCTGACCGACGTTCGTTCGTTACAGTAAAACAAAAAGTTTGTCTGATATTAAGTACCTACCTATTCGATTATATCTCTTCTTATAATAATACCATAATAATAACAGCAAAATGGAAGCTTATCTCTATAGATATAAAGATTGTCTTAAACTAAACCTCTGCAATGACAAGACAGACATACTTGACTGCTAATCCCTCGCTCCATAGCTTTCCCTTTCCAATTTACTTTTACACTTACACAAACATAACATTCCAATGGGGGCTGGGGTTTCCTATCCATAAGTATGTTCTGTGATTTGAGACTCCACTAAGATAAAAACATTGACTGCCTTCGAAAATTAGGGATTATTAATCCTAAAAACTGAATATAGCTAATACAAAACTAGATGCTCACGCCTGCCGTAATAATATGAGCTATCGAATGCAGGACAACGACGCAAGATTTAACTTGCAGTTCTGAGAGAAAACGGAGTCGTAAGTCTCTAAAATATCATTCAGAATCGTTCATCATCATCAATCATAATCAACAGCCTTTAATAGTCCACTGCCTTTTGGCCTATTATGCCACGCTGGCCAGACGGGTTGGTATAGGGTTTATGTCAAGTTCTCCTTCTCTTTGCAGTGCTGTTGTCCTGCGTACTTTGCTCCCTTAGTCGCCTCTTACGACACTCCGTATTCTTAATCCGTCATCACACGGACAGAATTCAGAATCGTTATTACCAGTTTATCCAATTTACTGGATATCATGACTGGTTGGCTCAAAACTGGAATGGTTCTTACATAAATAAATACCTCCAACGAACATCTTTGTTTATTGTCGAGTTGGTTTTGGCTTTTGCGATTAATGCTACTCAAGGGTCAATAACCGTATTAGTAGTTTTATCCGAATTTATCGACGTGTAAATGTTTTAAAAAGTCAGCATTAATAAATCATCAAGAGTAATAAAGGTCTTAAGGTAAGTTCAATGCTTAGTCTTGTCTAAGTTCGAATCGAACCCACGCGCCATTATGAATGTCTATTAGAAATCCTTTGGATAATTCAAGAGGAATTGCAGTTTTTTCGCAGGGACTCACTTTGATTTTACGAATAAGTTGATAAAGCATCACCTTGACTTCACAGAGAGCAAAACGAGAACCTGGAAATAAACAAATTAATAAGTATTTCTGTAAAATAAAAAAGGGATTGTTATAGACCATTGTAAACTTGTGTGTGTGCTTGCATGCACGTGATGTGTCTGTGGACGTGTAGATGCATGTGCGTGCATACGTATGCATGTACGTATGTGATCCATATTAACTATATAGACAATGATGGAAAAGAAAATGTATTTTTAAGGTACTAACCGATGCAATTTCTTGGTCCCAGTCCAAAAGGCATGTAAGAAAAAGGTTTTATGTTGTGTTTGTTTTCGTCGGAGAAACGCTCAGGGTCAAACTTAAGGGGATCAGGAAAGAGTTGTGGGTTGCGGTGGAAAACGTAAATCGGGAATCCAACAGCTGTACCCTTGCGGACCTGGTAAAATAAATGATCTCATAAATGTATATTTTATGGTATAGGATGACAACCGCCCAGACAAGCCATCTGGTGGTAAGTGACAACTGCCACCCATGGATATCTGCAACTCAAGAAATCGATCTTTGAGTCACCACCACCAGAATCAGGTGGGTTTGGGCTACGGTTACCACACTCAGACTGTTAAAACCCATTAAAGAATTGCTCAACATCGGTTTTCTGTGAGACCGTGGTAGTCCGGTCGAGCCGGCGCATTCGTGATGCAGCAAGTCTTTGCTATACCAATAATATGAATAAAATAACGAATTAACTATTAATTAGTAAAACCAAAGACCATTTCATGAACGGGTTCCAGTCGAAAACCAGCGCCGGGCCTTCGCTTAGCAAATGCTGAACTGGACGCCAATTTGGTATAGCAGTGAGACACAGAATGAATCACCTAGAAACAGTTATAGTCCAATCAAACTAAATGGCGGCTCTGAAGTTGCCTACAGTCAAGTCGACTCGATTGTACGTAGACAGGAATATGCGCAGATGTGTTAAAGGCATGCGTGTCGTGTGTCGCCCTGCCCCCCCGCTCCTTTACGTCCCGCTGCTGTCTATTATTGTGTTCTGCGCATTGAAACGCACGATGTTCCGAGCCGTCATTAACTTTGTATCGGACTATATCATCCTAAATTGATATCCTGTTTCACTTTTATAAATAGGGTGCATGATTCTAGTGATGTGAGCCCTATCAAAGGTCGATATTACCTTATTTTTACATATGTGTATCAAATAAAATTTTCTTTGTTTCTTTCTCATGTATCAAAGGGAATATTTCATTATGTGCAATACTTACTATTAAGTCTTTAGTTGCGGCTTTGTTCACTCTGCCAAAATTGTAGTCTTTCACGCATAGTCTCTCTAGGAACGGAGCGGGGGGATGCAGGCGCATACCCTCTAAAACAAGAAGATTACTTAATTATGTATATTCAGAGATGACTTCAATTGTTCGAAATTAGAATAAAATATTAGTTATAATATAAAAATTACGCATATTAATTATTATAATAACAAAGTATCCTAAGCACAAAACAAATTTTAGACTTGAAAAAGAAAAAAAAATGAAGAAGTGAAGTTAAAAACCATCTCTTAACTTTCAAATAGGCTTTTTTTCTTTTTCAAGTCTAAAATTTGTTTTGTGCTTAGGATACTTTGTTTTAGGCAGCCACTAATTACTTATTAAAGAACTAGCTGAGACCCGCGGTGTTACCTTCGTTTGTTGTTATAACCGCGGGCAACGCCGCGGGGCGAAGCTAGTATAAAAAAAGTAGCCTAAGTTACTCCTTATGTCATAAGCTATCTGCCAGTGAAAGTCCCGTCGAAATCGGTCTAGCCGTTCCAGAGATTACCCGGCACAAACAAACAGACAGACAGACAAAAATTGTAAAAAATGTTATTTTGGCATATGTACCGTGTAACCGCTTTTTACTAAATGCATATGTATGATATGCATTTAGTAAAAAGTGGTTATTTTAATATTACAAACAGACACTCCAATTTTATTAATTTGTATAGATTAACAAGGCGTCACTTATAAGAATTCTAGATTATTGAACCTTAAAAGAGCAACATCGATAAAAATTAACTGACGATAAACAAACTGGGTCTTTTGGTTGTAGTTTTATCAATGGTTACAACTTTTCTGAGTTGATCACTCACCTGACACAACCATATCCATATACTTCATACTCTGTATTGATGTGAAATCCAACTGACCACCGTTCTTCTGATCATATTCTTTTATTTCTTGTACCAACTTCTCTTGTACATCAGGATTTAAAGCCAGTTCATGAATAATGAATGTCATTGCCGTTGAAACTGTGTCGAAGCCAGCCAAGAGAAATATAACTGCTTGTGCTACCAAATCGTTGTCTGACCAATCTGTAAATCAAAATTATTACTGCAACTTAAGTTTTTTTTTTAAATACGATGTTTTGAATTAGTCATTGTTTGTAGTTAAAAAATGATCTGAATTTTTTTCGTGTCCCTCCTAAGAACTTTTCTTAAACATGTATATTTAAGTATAATTTACCTCTATTGTGCGATTTTTTGCCAATATTTGACTCTTCCACCGTAGCAAAACCGGCGCCACTGTCAACATTTGTGTGTTCATCATGTCTCAAGTTTCCTGCAATAAGTGACAGATTATATTATTATTGGTTTATTTTTATTTATATATATATATATATATATTATATTTTATATAATACTAGCTGTACGCTGTGGCACACTGTAGTTGCATTAATGAGAAATGGGGACAGAAGTGACTGAAAAATAGACAAATACAATCTTTGGAGTGGGTCTTATCGTATCAAAATTTGAGGTCAATCAATGTAGAAGTTTTTCAAACCAACTTAACATTTCTATATAGATTATTTTTTGTTTATGATGTAATATTTATATTTGGTTATCATGGTGGCTAGAGAAATACACACTCTGTAAAAATTGAGATTACCTATTTATTAGACTTATTATAAATTTTTAAAGTTTGAGTGCGAGATTTTGTACAAAGCCATGTTTGAAATGTGATAATTCCTAAGCTATTAATTGATTTTATAGCATAAACTTATTCATAGATTTAGTAAATTGTTTTTAGCTACCTTTCTTTATCTCATTGAGAATGTTGATCATGTCGTGTCTGATGATTTTATTTTTCTCACGTTCCTCTATAGTGGACAGTACCACGTCTGTGAAGAAACCGGAGGTCTCGGGTGAAGACAACGACATTTTCATCATCTGTAAGTATGTAATTGTAAATTAATATATTTTAATACAAGATTTTTTGACCACAAAACATATTATTGAGGTTCTTCAGGTGATTAGGTCTTTGGTTGATCTGAAAAGAATTTCATCAATATTCTTTTTAATATTTCAATTCTTTGAATTTTCAGAACTTAGGCACTTAGGTTTTTAAGGAACTATTTGGTTTTAATATTTATTCATCGTCTTCTTCTTAGTCGTTCTCTCACAACAGAGGATAGTAATTTCTTTGACCGAGTTTGTCAACTAGCTGCCTGGTCAAACCCAGATTTGAAAATATTATTCAATTATGGTCTTCAAATGAATCATCATCATCATCATCAGCCTATCGCAGTCCACTGCTGGACATAGGCCTCTCCCATTGCACGCCACTTAGATCGATTTTGGGCTTCTCGCATTCATTCAAATGAATAATAACATTAATTTAAAAAATACTCTCTAATACTTGCTTTGTTACTTAACTCAAACGGTTATGAAAGACACCACAAGGACTTTCACGTCCCTGGTTAATATTGGTATCAAAACCCCGCGACTGAACGCTGTCTACCAACATACAGGCAATAGCCTAGTTTGGAAAACAGTTCACAGTACCATTAGATTTATACATCTTTAAATGTTTAAACAACGATGTGTGTCCAGTGAAAGCATGTGTGTTTATTTACTTTGTGTTAATTAACATTTTTATTTTTTTTATTATTTCTAGATCTTCGACTTTGCCTTAATATGTTGCTGGCATTATCGTTGAAGCTTGTCCAAGTTGTAATTGAGACAGGACTTTTAATATGATAGTTACCAAAGCTTTTAAAATTGTCTTAGGTATCGTGTCTAAATATTGAGCAAAAACAACAGTTTTGAATAAATTCTTGTGTATCTGACTTACATTAGCAAGTGTTGGAAGACATCTGAAGAAGAAAATCTTCATCATTTTCGATACACCGAATGTGACAACATCTTTGGCTTTCACATAGAAAGGGCTGTCCACAGACTGAGAGTCCACTTTTAAGCCGAAAGCACATGAAGCAATCACGTCGTTTGCATACCGGGTGGTGAGATCTTTAGTATTGACGTCAATGTTTTGACCTGTGTGTAAGAATATAGTTTATCAAGACAAGAGACACAAGTGCGTTTCCGCTTTTTGAGGCCATGAATTCCCTCCAGTAACTTCACTCACTTCAGGAAAAACAACAAAAGACTAGCTGAACATCGGTTTTATGTGAGGCCATGGCATTATTCTGGTCGAGTACCTTATAGTATATGGCAAAGCGTGAGACTCTCATTGTTGTATTCGTCATCCCTTAATTTTCCATTATTAGAGGGGAATTAGAGGTAGATATATAAATGGAAGGGACCGTAAACACCATCAAAACAATTAAAAATAGTTTATATACGTAGCTCATATCTGTTTGCCTGGAAAAGTGTAATGAGGTCGACAGACATTGATAGTTCTGTTGAGCTCATTACACTTTTTCCAGAAACTTTATTTAAAGCCAAAGAGAAATTTTATTTAAAAGAGCCAGTAGCTGATTGTTTAAATTCTCTTGTATGCATTATTACGATATTTAAGACACAGATAGTATAATCTTATGTTCCTTGCTTTCACATAACATTTGATAGACTTAACTGAATAACTTTTTAAAACTTAAAGGCCATCACATAAAGGCCTCTCCTTAGAAAGGAGGTTTTGTTCTACTATACCACGCTGGCCAGACGGGTTGGTATAGGGTTTGTCAAGTTTACCTTCTCTCTGCAGTACTGTTATTCTGCGTAGTTTTCTCCGTTAGTCGGCTTTTACGACACCCATGGGATAAACCAGGGGGAGGAGGGGAGGCCTATTTCCAGCAGTGGACTATTAAAGGCTGTTGATGATGATGAACATAAAATTAAATTTATTTTGAAAAGAAATACAAATATATGTCGTTTTAAACTCACTTTCAGAATCATTAATTCTTTTGCTAAGAACCTTAATCATTTCTTCTCCAACATCGACCATAAAAGGCACCATCAGACGAATCTTGGAGCTGGTAAACGCTGGACTTAGCGTGGAACGCATTTCTTTCCATTCGTCACCTGCAATCATTTGGGGAATATAATAGTGTAGTCCTAATGATATGATATACATAATTACTATTTATAGATATCGTGGAACAGATAGATTTTTTATGGCACGCGTAAGCAGGTTTATCTATAGATAAGGTTCACTGATCTAGTTGTTGTATTTATTTATTATACTACATTATCACCTCCGGTTTTTGATAACGTCTTTGTTAAAAACGTAAAATTACCAACTAGCTAGTTAGCTTGGCTACTACATATATACAAATGAGTGATGGAGTTGTCAAAAATTGATAAAAATCGAATTGCTACAGTTTCGTTTATTTAACTGACTGCAGTGATGGCGTAGTGGTTTAAGCGGTCTACTACAACGAGTGTTGTGGCCCACATGGGACGACACTTTGTGTGATCCACAAATTGTTGTTCTGAGTCTGGGTGTTTTTTGTGTCCGTTTCATGTATATTTGTAAAGTCCCCCGCGACACAGGATATATTCCTAATGCGGAGGTTGTCTTTAAAAAAAAAAAGAAAAAAAATCATCAGATTATAAGGTCTCATAAGTTCAGTCTTATGAGGCTTTAAAGTTTGATAAAAACTTATAATCAGGTAGGTCAAAAGCTTCCTTATGATTAATATATCTTCGATATTTATTTTCGGTATTCTCTGCTATCTATCTCAAATTAACTCTACCCTATTCAGCTAGAAAAAAAAAACCTCTTCTCTAAGGAGAGGCCTATGTCCAGCAGTGGACTAGTATAGGCTGTTGATGATTGATGATCCAGCTAGCAGAAGTGAACTTAAACGACTTCAAATAGAGTTTAGTTTCAAGTGATACTGCATCCCCCTTTCAAAGTTCTAACACCTTTGCGTATAAATCAACATCATCCCAGATTCAATCGCATATTTTTTTTCACCTGATGGAAAGCGACTATCGCCGCCCATGAACGCCTGCAACTCAGGAGCACGTTGCAAGCCTTTGAGGTATTGTGTTATGTAAATAATAATTATTGAACTACTGACCTTTAAGATTGATTAGACTTCTTCCGAAGGTAGGGTCTAACTCACTGACGAAACTTCGTCTATCAACGAAGTGGTCAAAATCTTTGATGGTGACTTTTTTAATGGTGTCTACATCTTGCACAATGTATATAGGATTTAACAGTTCGTATAATCCCACCACTCTAGAAATTAAAATAATATGAAGATATTAATTTCATAGTCCCTTTTATATACAATATAATTAATAGAGCTATCATACATCCCTTGATAAAAGTCCAACTAAAATGTGAATACTTACTAAAGCTGAATTATAAAGAAACGGAACTACTCCTACATATAGCAAAGTAAATAAAAATTGACTTATAGTAATGGCTTACGTCTTCATAAATAACCAAACACATACACATGAACCATGAACGCACGCACACACACAAATACGCTACTTTATACACCCTTTTACATTTTAGACAACTACACTATCACGTCACACAAGAGAGGACACTCTCAGGAACAATAATTTACGTATAAATTTTAATACCCTTATGTAACTGGCAAGGATAATTAGACAATATTATATCCGAGAGGTTTGGCGCTGATAGCTGAAATACAGGCTTTGCCTAGTTCGATAACAGATGCTATCTTCATTTACTTGTACTTAAGAAATGACAGCCTGCCTATAATTTTCAACCCTGTATGGTTTTTGAAATATACAGTAGTATTATTCTCTTTATTAAAATATGTATACGACGACCGAATGGCGTAGTGGTTTGTGTAACGGACTGTTATTCCAAAGGTCGCGGGTTCGATTCCCGCTCAAGTCAAACATTTGTGTGCATGAACATTTAATGTTTGATTTGGTCTGGGTGTTTCTATGTATAATATGTATGTATTTACAAAAAAAAAAGTATTTATGTATTTATATCAGTTATCTAGTACCCATAGTACAAGCTCTGCTTAGTTTGGGACTACATGGCGTTGTGTGAATGTGGTAGAATATTATTATTATTATTATTATTATTATATTGATTACATTTTTAAATATATTACAAAAGAAATACATTTAAAAGTATTAAAAAAAATAGTAGACCACCGACATCGGGTACAGGGATCTTGACACCAGTTTTTAGGAATCCAAGAACCTCCTCACTATACGAGCCGTGTCAAAGAGGACTGCTACCTGCATCAGACCCTTTTTTTTTTTTTTTTTTTAACGTGTGGAAATCCCCTCGGACCGTCACCCCGCCGGGCCTCTCGTTCGGCGGGGCGGTGTGTCGGACTCGAACCGACTAAAACCACACGGTGTGCCCTCTTTGCGCTTCCAGTTTAGGAGGGGTCCAGGTAGTTATCGCCTTCTGGACCCCTCCCAGCGCCGGCCCGCTCCTGGTGCGGGCTCCATCTCAAAATGTTTACCTCTCCTTAGGCGGCGTCCGGCACACGCGGACGCCGCCCCCTCGCGGCTGGCCAACTAATGCGGGTGGAGGGAAGAACCCATCCCGTCCACCCGCGGCCACAGTCAGGGCGGCATGAGGCGCAGATGAGCGCGCCTTCGCCGCCCGGTTCGTCAGCGGCGGATCTTGTCTTGATCTTGTGGAGGTCCGCCTCCTTCTGCGAGATTACTTCCTCGCAGAAGGTTGCGACCGCGGTAAAACAACTGTCGCTACCGGCCATGGAGCGTACTACGGCCGGTAGCGAGAGATCCACTCCGATGACTGCAGTGAGGGCCCGGCGCTGCGTCGCCCATGCGGGGCAGACCGCCAGCGTGTGCTGGGCCGAGTCCTCACTGCAGTCGCAGTGGTGGCAGGCGGGACTCAGTTCCCTCCTAACGACCGAGTGTAGGTACTTTCCGAAGCAACCGTGCCCGGAAAGCACCTGCGTCAGCCGGAAGGAAAGGGTCCCGTGTCGCCGCCCTGCCCACTCGGCGATGACCGGCTGGAGAGCCGCCACTAGCGCCACTCGCGCACGTCTTCGGGCGGAGGGCGAAAACCGCTCTCCGCCCGGAAGTCAGCCACTCGCCGATAAACTTCGGCGAGCACTTCCGCCTCCAAATCCCACGGTGGTGTTCCGGCCAAGGCACAGGCCGCCCCGGTGGACACCGTGCGGTATCCGCGTATGGCTCTGACCGCCAATATCCTCTGGGGGCGCCAAAGGCGCGCCCTATCAGAGCCGCCACCCACACCGGTGCACCATACAGCGCCATGGACCGGACAACCCTCGCGTACAGCCGCCTCGTGGGAACACTGGCCCCGCCCAAGTTGGGCAAAAGTCACCCTAGGGCGGAGGCAGTGTCCACCAGCTTCGGACCAAGCTGTCGGAAGTGCTCGTCGAAGAGCCACCTACCGTCTAGGACCAGACCCAGGTACCTCATCTGGGCCCGGACCGGTACAAGGACCGAGCCGACCTCGATTGAGGCGCCGGCGGGTGGAACAAGACGGGGCCCATGAAATAATAGGGCCTCCGTCTAAACCCAGAGCCACCCGTAATCCCAACGCCTGAATGCGCCCGACCACCAGGGAAACTCCCGTGGCGGCCAGGCGCGCCGCCTCCTGGAAGTTAGCCCCCCGGGCCGTGAGTAAGGTGTCATCCGCGTAGCAGACTACGCCCAGCCCGGGGGGGAGACGCCCTCGTAGGGCCCAGTCGTACCCGATGTTCCACAGGAGAGGTCCTAGGACAGACCCCTGCGGAACACCGCACGACATGGCCCTGCGTCTCAAGACGCCATCTCGGTCCTCGTACATGACGGTTCGCTCCTCAAGATAGTCTGCCACCAGCCGCCTCAGGCACTCCGGCACTCCGTGGTAGCGGAGCGCTTCCCTGATGCAGCTGAATGGCAGACTATTAAAGGCGTTGGCGATGTCCAAGGACACCGCCAACACCACTCCACCGCAGCTCACGGCCTCCTCGGTCACGGCCCTAAGGCGCATCATGGCATCGATCGTCGAACGCCCCTCTCGGGAACCGAATTGGGCGTCCGACAGATCGGCGCCAACCTCGCAAAGGTGCCGGACGATGCGGGCAGAGAGCAGCCTCTCAAAAAGTTTACCCGCCTCGTCCAGCAACACGATAGGCCTATAGGCCGCGACCGATTCGGCAGGCCGTCCCGGCTTCTGCAGCAGGACCAGCTTCCCGCATTTCCAGCGCTCAGGGAAGCGTCCAGACGCCAGGCTAGCGTCCAACACTTCCCTGAGGTGGTCCGACATGTAGTCGAGGGTTCGGGCCATCACTCGGGCTGGAACCCCGTCCGGCTCGGGGGCGGTGTTCTTGGATCGAATCCGTAGAACAGCCGCCCCCAACTCCGATTCCCTGACGGGTGGAACATCAACCTCGCTGCCCCCGTCGTCTCCGGCTGATGCAGCCATCGACGGGGGTGTGTGCTCCGCCCGCTGCGGGAATAGGCCCTCCACCACTTCCTGCAGGAAGCTGGGCTGGAGAGTCTCCGTAAGGGGGGGGCCCGACGTGCGGAGCTTTTGACGCACCGCACGATAAGGGCGACCCCAGGGGTCACGCTCGAGACTCTCCAGCATCTCCTCTCTACATGCATCCTTGGCGCGGCAGATGGCCAGCCTCAGAGTTTTCCGAGCTTCTCGGTAATCCTCATGAAGCCGGTCCACCTCCTCACCGACCCCGCGGTGACGTCGCCGACTACGGGTGAGGGACTTCCGGGCATGTACACAGGCCGCACAGAGGTCCGCCAACTCCTGGGACCACCAGTAGACCTCCTTCCTTGGAAGCCGACAACCACGAACGCGGGGCATGGCCGCATCGCAAATCTGCGTAATCGCATCGCAGGAGCGACCAGCCCCCATGTCGACCTCCTCGGTCGGGGCCTGCGGAGACAGCCAAGAGTGAATAATGGCCGCCTTCTCTAGTAGGTCCCTGTCGAGCTTGGCGACAGCCCACCGCGGGAAGCGGGAAGGGCGCCGCGCCGCGTGACCCCTACTGGGGTCCTGGGACGGGGACAGCTCGAATCGGATGTACAAATGATCCGAGAGCGTCTCGACCTCTTCCAGGACACACCAGTTCCTTACTCGTGCGGCGACTGCAGGGGTAGCGAACGAAAGGTCCACTATCGACCACCCCTGCTGTCGCACGCACGTGTTGGTGGAGCCTCTGTTCAGCAAACATAGGCCCACCGACGCCGCCCACTCCTCGACGGCTTCGCCCCTGGCGTCCGTCGCAGGGGAACCCCATGCAATGGATTTTGCGTTGAAGTCCCCCAGCACGAGGAACCTGCATCATACCCTTGATCCAGCCGTCCAACATGATCCTCTTAAGGTGTTGGTCGAGGCTCTTGGCATTATATTATTATTAATTAACGTAAAAGTGAATAACATAACAATATGTAATAGATGCATATATACCACATAGCCAATAAACTGAAGCCAGTTGACAGGTTATTTTGCTTGTACTAATTAAAAGTAAAAGCCGTAAAAAAAAACAGATTAGTGGTCTATTTTGAGGTCCCTTCTCTAGATAGAAATTTAATTTACTACTTATCTATGGTTTAAGCGGAACCGCACAGGCACCTCTGGTAAAAATAACTCGGTAAAAAACAACAAAAGGTTTTGGTACCAGTTTACTGCGAGGCCGTGTCATGTCATCACTCCGGTCAAGGAGACCAATGTGTGAGAAGCATGGTTCTTCCACAATTAATCTAGTAGTACATTTAAAACTAAAATATATGTATCACCACATGTTTACATTTAACATACTTGTCATCTGGAAATGTCGAGCGTAACCTTGCCATCAACTCGGTGATGTTTTCTAAGCTGAATAATGCCCAGAATAGGTTCCCGAAGACCGGGATGATGGGGAGGTGGTTGATGCCCTCGTTGGAGAATTTTGAGTAGACATTGCGGAGGTACAGTGCCAGCGCCACGATAGCCAGGAGAAAACATATGGCTATCATGCTGTCTCTAGAAAATGTGAAAAAAGATTACATAAATACAAAAACTTCTGTAAAATAACGATAGATAGATGTATTTGATTCATACATAGATTACTACTTTATTATAGTTTTAGTTAAAAGCGATCTAAAAAATATATATTGCAAAAACTTTAAGAAACTGAAGATCAACGTATCTACGAGTATCACCAACAGTCTTCAATAGTCCACTGCTGGACATAGGCCTCTCCTTAGAAAGGAGGTTTTGGCCTACTATACCACGCTGGCCAGACGGGTTGGTTTAGGGTTTGTGTCAAGTTTTCCTCCTCTCTGCAGAGCTATTGTTCTGCGTAGTTTTCTCCCTTATTCGGCTCTTACGTCACCCACGGGATGAATAGGGGTGGTGACACTGTATTCTTAATCCGTCACCACACGGATCTACGGATCTACGAGCATAATAGAAACATAAATATACTATATATTGTGTAATATTATTTCTAATATGGGGAAGATGTGGCACGTTATTATTAAACGTTTTTTATTTGTTCATGGTCATCCAAACTAAAAGTAAAGTTGGAATAAAAATTTAGTTGCAAGATTTAACTTGCCAACAAATTGACATACACACTGATCTATACAAATAAATAAAATTGAAGTGTCTGTTTGTAATGTCAAAATTATAGGGTTTTTTCATGCTCACACGGTTATTTTCACGATAACTATGCCTAAAAACCGTTTTTTTTCGTCTGTTTGTTTGTTCATATATATATTAATACCAGGAATAACTTAGGTTATTTTTCCTTTCAGAAAAACCCTTTAAAATTTTGCCCGGTCCGGGCATCGAACCCACTAAGGCAGCGCTTTTAAATTCCAGCTAGTTTGTCATACAAACATTGTAAAAACGATTCGAAAGATTGTTAAAATTCATAAAAAATAATGACACTGACGTTATATCGTGTATGTTACTTAATATGACTGAAATATTATAAAGATAACATACCAATTGAACGAGAAACTATAAGTGATTTACTAACCTATTTAAATTTGTTTATGGAAACACGGTCACAAAACCACGTTCGTTCACGTGCTGAACATACAAGCGACTGGCAGTGCAGTGGCACTAGTGTATAGTGGTTCTAGCCAGTCAAAATTGCTGTTCTTAAATGTATATTTTTAAACACAATTTTGTTTCTTATCTTTGGTTGATTAGAGGGCAGTTTTTGTGCGATTTAAATTGTTAAGTCATTATTAAAAAGCAAATTACCATTATTTACAATAGTAAAGAAAGAAACATATTGGCGACCTGTCGAAATTAATGGGTGGAAAATCCCTTCGGATCTCCGGCTCCGTGGGGATTTAGGAGCCAGGAGTATGTGGTGTTACCACTATAAACCACCCCGACGGCCGGACTCAGGCGCCCCGGGGGACAAGTTAATTCAGGTCCCCCGGATCGACGCTGCGCTTAGCCAGGCCCTATCCCGGGTTGGAACTGCCACCTACAATTGTGACCAGCAGTGCAACCTGATTGAAAGGTCAGGCATGAAAGGTATCCTATGTTGTTATCTGTTACTCCTGATAATGTATATGGAAAATTATTTGATGATAGATTGAGTAGCTGCCTAACAAATAAACAGACAACCTATCGGACCTAGAACATTTGATAAGATTAGTTTAGGCGTCCTTGATATTGCGATGTAGGATTCACACAGAACATCTGTTAGGTACACCAATAGAGTCCAGGGTTTCCCCATTTAAAACTCATTTCGCAAGTTTAGTGCTATCAATTATTAATTTGTGTTTACATAATGTCCGTGTGGTGACGGATTAAGAATACAGAGTGTCAGCACCCCTATTCATCCCGTGGGTGTAGTAAGAGCCGACTAAGGGAACAAACTACGCAGGACAACAGCACTGCAAAGAGAAGAAAAACTTGACACAAACCCTACACCAACCCCTCTGGCCAGCGTGGTGTAGTAGGCCAAAACATCCTTTCTAAGGAGATGCCTATGTCCAGCAGTGGACTAGTAAAGGCTGTTGATGACGATGATGATGATGATAATGTCGGTTGCCAGATTTAAAAAAAAACGGTAGTTTGCGAACGAAAGCTCTTTTTGATTTAACTGAACCTTGATAATTATTTTACCCAATTACCAAACGCAGCCAGAACATCAATCCTTTTAAGTGTCAAGACATCTTAAAGCTAAACGCTAGATTCCAGTCGCTATGTGCTGTAATTCTAGAATGCTTTAGAGTTGTAACCGAATTCTCACAGCTTTCAGCACACTTCATCTTTACAGCTTCATTTTCTACCAGTTGAGTGGAATGACCAACGCAAACTCTATTTATCGGTTTTAAAGAATTTTTAAAATTTACTGTAAACTTACGGTTAATGACTTTTCATACTTTCAATAAAGTAATCTTTGTTGTGAATCATAGGTAGGTTATATTATATAGATGTTATAGCTTTCGAAGTTCAGTCAAAGACAGTAATTACTAAAGGTAAAATAAATTACATAAAACTGGTTTATTTTCATTAGTTTCGTATTAATATCTTTGAATCCTTAATTATTCTAAAATTAGCTTTTCTTACAACTACCTAATTGTATGAACAGCTCAAATTTTGAAAAAAAAGACTATTTACGTTTATCTTGACCTTTGATCCTATGATATCTTTCCTATGATGAAGCTTTGCCTGACTTTACAGATGGTTTTTGAACAAATCTATTTTAAACCTGAAGGTTGAAGACTTACTCACACATATGTAAAACTCGCACACATATCTGTTTCGGTTATGCAGCAAGAGGAGACTGTTTATCTATTACACACCTACGAGTACAATACATAAGTTCATGGAATAATCTTTTTTTATATCAACAAACAGACGGGTCACCCGATGGTAAGAGACAGAGTCACTTGGGATATGTGGGGCATAATTTTTCATTATCCGTGTGGTGACGGATTAAGAATACGGAGTGTCACCATACCAACACGTCTGGCCAGCGTGGTATAGTAAGCTAAAACCTCCTTTCTAAGGAGAGGCCTATGTCCAGCAGTCGACTATTAAAGGCTGATGATGATGATTTTTTCATTAAGATACTAAATTACAATATCCAGACATAATCACTTTCTATTCCCAATATTTGTTTGTATCCTTCACTTTGTAGATCATCTGCATTCTGTAAAATGTTACAGAATAGGTTTACGGAAATAGGCAATCCTAGTTTTTGAAACTACACGACCCTGATCTGCTCAAACTATTGCAAACCCAGTAATCCTTCAGTAAAAGCAATTTCAATTTCCTACCATACCCCTTTTTTTTCCGTGTGGAAATCCCCTCGGATACCACCCACAGGTGGTTATGTCGGACTAAAAACCGCACGCCGTCTCAAGTACCAGTAGCCGTGGAACCATGAAGGAAATTCCGTGCACCCGTTTTACAAAACTAAAGGGCACCCGCGCCACATAGCGCGTTGCGCCATCAACCCGATCTGCCACGGTTACAGACGGCCTCATCTCTCACCCCTAGGCCTGCGCTTATGGAGCACGGAAATCGTTTCACGACCTCCGGCGCCTGAGTCCTGTACCTGGCCCGTTCCCGAGCCTGGCGGACCGGGAGAGTTCTTAATCTCTCCCGGTCCCGCGCCGCCGTCTCCTTCGCAAGCATAACTTGCTCACAGAAGGAGACTTCGGAGTTTCACACAGTCTCGCTCCATGGCCCCTAGAACCATATCCTTTGCTTTTCAATATACTGTAAATTTTCTAAAGCCGTTGATCGAGATTAAACAGGAAAATTCGCCCAATTTTCCTATCTAACCTCGGTCAACGGTAATAGGCTTTCCGTTCCTTTTTATGAAAGTAAGACTGAAATTACAGTTAGCAAAATGTAAGCGTTTAGTACAACTCTCCATACCTTTTCGGAGATATGGGCTTGAGTGTATAACTACATACATGTATTAAAGAATTCCGGATTTAATTATCTCTTGCTATTTAATAATTGGCTATATTTATAAGAGCTGTTATATACCGCTCTGTTTGCTAGTACAAATGTACTCTCATATTTACGTATTAGATTTTTAGACGTTTCTTTCTTGTAAATTCAACATCATCAAGGTTCACCACAACAACCGGTCCTGTGCTTCCCGAATCCAACAGAAATTATTGTATTTTAATTATAGCTTTAACATTTGATATACAGTGTTATTAGAAAGTAGTTAACGAGTATACTTAAATAGTAAAATTTAATTTATAAAGGTATTTATGACCCTTAGAGGGTCTGAAAATGTCTTGTAGACTCGTATTTTGGGATCTAGAACTTAACCGCGTACTCCCATGCCTTAGGTGATGTAACAGATTTGTTATCAATTTATATATAAATACTTATGATTACGTTAAAAGTGATGATATGATTCGCATATTATTTAGCTGTGTCATACTTATTATAATACATTAACAGCCTTTTGACGTATCTAGGAACGTATAATCACGTTTTGACCTTGACTTCTAAACAACTTGTCTATTGTATGTCACATGTATTATGGCGGATGACGGGGCTCCCATATTAATTATTGTTTAAAAAAACGTGTGAGAGTGCTCCGAGGAATTGTTCGGACTAATACTGGCCGCAATCTTCCGCCGTCGTCCTACACGGCAAAAATTTTCATCTCCGCAACTTGGATAATTGGCGCTCCACCTCTGTGCCCTTTTCAAGACAGTTTTTGCCTTGAACTACCAATCTGTGGAACAAGTTATCGTCTGTGGTATTTCCGGACCGATACGACCTTCAAACCTTCAAGATAAGAGCGTACTGCTTCCTCAAAGGCTGTTTGTTGCAGTTGCAGGCATTCACGTTCGGCGGTAGTCGCTTTCCATCAGGTGACCCGTGTGCTCGTTTGACCCCTATTCCATAAAAAAATAGTTGACGTATCAGTTACGAGGAACGTATAATCACGTTTTGACCTTGACTTCTAAACAACTTGTCTATTGCATGTCACATGTATTACAGCGGATGACGGGGCGCCTATATTAATAATTGTTTAAAAATAAAATTAAAGTTTAAAAAAACTAAAAAACACTCTTTTATAGAAAACCAAACTAAAAAACAGAAAATAAATTTTAATAAGCGTGTTTTTTAGTTTTTTTAAACTATTTTTTTTAAATATTTCTTTTTAATTAGTGTATTGTCATCGGTCCTCGATATATCTACAAAGTTTGAACGAATTCTGACCGTTTAAAGTCAGTCAAAATCACGCCCAAAGGAGTCGGTTACAAACATACAAACAAACATACAAGTGAAGCTAATATAAAGAGTGTAAAAAAATGTAACAAGAAAAACATGGAAGTCTCAGATTGCAGTTTTTCTATAACAAAGATTGGTGTACCTTGTTACCTAAATAATTAACTAATTATATTTTATAGTGATCTAGTTAATATTAAACGACTTTGTATCTTATCTGTTGGTCCCGAATCCAGGAAAAATAATCGTGTTTGTTCTGTGTCTGGGTGTAATTGACTCGTACGTGTGCATGTATGATTAACAGAAGCCGATAGAAAGAAGCAGAAGAAGATATTTCAAGTCTTTTTATAATGTGATTAAATAATATAATAAAGAATGTGAATGTAACTAGGAAAAACATTTCTGGGAGCCATTAGGTACTTTTTTTGTTTTTACTCAAGGACTGTCTCATCACGTTTAACAGAGCATGTCACTGACCACAATAGGGCTGTTCCGTACCTCTAAAGGTAAAAAAAGAACCCTTATAAGATCACTTTCTTGTCCGTCTGTCCGTTTGTCCGTGTGTCACCCCCGATTTTCTCAGGAACGGGTAGACCTAGCAAGTCGAAATTTATACCAGATACTGAGGACTATTGTCCCTATTAGGTGAATAAAAATCAAGGTACTGAGTCAACACGATAAAAATTTATGGGCAAATTTCGTATTTCGCTAAAATTTGCAGGTACCAAAATTTATCTTAATTTTCAACTTTTTTATTTTTTGGAATAATTTCGTTTCTTTGTACTGTAAGATCTTGCTTTTAACCAAAATTGACAATTCTAGGTCAATCGGAAGTACCCTATAGGTTTTGGGTCGAAAACCTATATGGTAGTTCCCGTTGACCTAGAATCACGAAATTTGGCAAAAAGAAACGTCTTACAGCACAAATAAAGAAATTATTCCAAACAATAAAAAAGTTGAAAATTAAGATAAATTTTGGTACTTGCAAATTTTCGCGAAAATCTACGTAAAATCTGGGTAGGTACGGAACCCTCGGCGCACGAGTTCGACTGGTACCTGACCGGTTTTTTTTAAATACAGGTTACTTAGTGACCTAGTGTAGTGTATACACCTCTAGAATAACAAAAGAAGTAATTAAATACTGTTTATCAATAGATATATTATGTGTATAACTATTTATCTGTCGTCTGGAGTGACGTGCTCTGCTAGGCGCGCGGTGGTGACCGAGATCAACCGGTGCGGAGTGCAAACAGCGGCGAACCGATATTCATATTATAATATCATTAAAATACTTTAAACATTACAAGTGTACATTACACCTAGAGCTACACAAAATACATACATAATTACTTGCCGTCATTGACCAGGACCTACACCGCTGTGGCTAGAAATTTTGGTAGATGATGCTTTTCATATTATAATCACCCACTAAGAAAGGTTTTTTTTTTTCGTGCGGAAATCCCCTCGGATACCACCTATCGGTGGCATGTCGGACTCGAACCGACTAAAACTCGTCTCGTGTACTAATAGCCGGGGAACCAGGTATACCCTAGAAAGGAAGTTGGAAATTTAACCCCTAAGAGAATTAAATAAGAGATGAACGGTTGTATAAATGCTAGTCAGTTTCAAAATTAGAAACACGAAATAAGACGAGAAACCGCATGCAATATCTAGTATTTAATAAAGATATAAGACTCACGCGTGTGTTTCGCGGATTCAATGAGTGAAGCGTCCCGGCGCGAGCGTCTTATGCGTTGCACTAAAAAGTGTGTTACGGCCACGGCGCTACACAATGGCCTTCATATACTATTTGGACTTGAATGTTATTAACAAAAAACTGATGACATGAGATCATAGTCTACAAACTAATAAATGCCCTGTTTATTGTCCACACTTACTGGCACGGTACTGCGAAATGTTTATTGATTAAGACAACTAAACAAAAATATATGTAAATGAAACTATGTACTAACTTTTCCGTGTGGTGACGGATTAAGAATACGAAGTGTCACCACCCCTATTTATGCCGTGGGTGTCGTAAGAGGCGACTAAGGGAGCGAAATACGCAGGACAACAGCTCTGCAGAGAGAAGGAAAACTTGACACAAACAATATACTAACCCGTCTGGCCAGCGTGGTACAGTAGGCCAAAACCTAATTTAAAGTTGAGGCCATAGGCCTCTCCTTAAAAGGAGGTTTTGGTCCAGCAGTAGACTATTAAAAGGTGTTGATGATGATGATGATGATGAAACTATGTAACTGTCTTGTACTAAATTATAGTAAATTTCAATCTTTTATTAAATCTTTAATCAGTTTTATTTAAGATTTCAAATGTTTTTCAAACAATTCCTGAATATTAGTACCTAACGCCTTTTAAAATTATAAAAGCAATAAGTTGTTATAGTAAAAACTGTTTTAACGTTCCATTTATAAACGCGTCCTGTTATTAGTAAGCATGCTCAACCTGTTAACCATATTATCACACTTTTAATTATTTATAAAGTGTATTACAAAGGATGCCACTCATTATGTTTTCCCATAAACAAATAACCAAAAATCGTAAAGCATAATAAATCTTTTGCTAGAACCGGTTAGTGCTGGTTAAAAAAAATGATATGTCATGTCACATGTATTCTAAAGTTGACATAAATATGACGGAAGCATAATTACACTTGTTTAACAATATGGTATGAGGAAAATCAAACGAATAAGTTCAAAAGTTGATTTATTAATTTATGCATGCTTTACTCTGTATCATTACTTGGTACAAAACAAAACCAATTTATATGTTTTTCTATATGTCCAGCTCCGCCTAAATCACGCAAAGAGTAGTGGGGCAGCGCTGCGTTCATTATTTTATCCTAAAATCGAACAAATTACCACTAACATTGCTTCTAGCCTCCTCCACGCATTGGTTAAGTCCAACCTCGGCCTGTTGTTCTAGAGTTTTACGTTCCGTTCTGTACGGTGGTCTGAACCTTTTCATTAGGTTCTCGTTGAGCTATAAATACAGTGCATTCTAAAAGCTAAACTTTGACTCATTACTCCATAATATAGAAACGGGATGTGGAGAAGTAGAACGCACTTAAAACGCCGACAATTTAAGTGGTCACGAGTGTCTGACACGTCTGGCTTCATGCTTCAAAGGACATTAGGATGAGGAAGTATCGTGTTTGCTTTTTTTACCTTTAATTTAATCCTCTTACTAATAATACATATAAGACATTACATCGATATTAAATATCATAAAATATTTATAGTGCGACTGCAAGGATTTCGTAGTGGTTTAAGCGGTCGCCAAGACGCTCACTACTACGCTGAGTGTTGTGGGTCCGACCCCCACATGGGACGACACTTTGTGTGATCCACAAATTGTTGTTCTGAGTCTGGGTGTTCTTTGTGTCCGTTTCGTGTATGTATGTAAAGTCCCCCGCGACACAGGATATATTCCTAATGTGGGAGTTGTCTTTTTTTAAAAGAAAAAGTTGTTAAGTATTTATTTTTTTATTGTTGGTACGGATTATCTTGATGAACAATTTACATATGGTTCCTTTTTAGTACCTACGAGGCAGTGTCAAGGGTTTAACGTTGACATTGGCACCATCGTTTTTCTTTACTTTATTTACGTAATCTTAAAATAACTCTAAGTAGTAATTTTAGTATTTTTTCTCTTGGGATAGATGGGTCCTTGCCGAAGTATATAGAGAAATAGATGATAAAGAATTGTAAAACCAATTGCAATTGTATGAATGTGTTCCTAAGTTTTATAAATAATCTTCGTAATAAAAACACGATAAAATCGATATTTAACCATGGAATCAAGATATTCAACTGCACGAAAGAAGATTTTCGTCGCTACAATTTAAAACTGCTCTTATAATTTTGTTAGGCGTTGGATTTCAATAACATTGATTGTTTGAAATATAGTTCAAAACTTGAAAAAAACAATTATTCTGGTTTTTCCTTTTTAAGTATTTACATACTTTGACTGACATTTTTGTTTGTATTCTGCATTGTATATTGCTTATCCATGGTGTGCAATAAAGAACAAAACATTTAACTGTGAGGTGGTGGCGAGGTTTTCGATTGTGATAGGCGATTCTTAGACGTTAATTCCTGAATACCGTTTGAGCTGTAGTGATTGCCTTTTGTTCTAACGGCCTTTTGGTCAATCCTGACTGCGAATCCAGAGGTCGTGGATTCGATTCCCATCCAGACAAATGTTATTTGACCAGCACGATTATTTGTATTTTCTGTGTCTGGCTGTAATTTATGTATCATTTAATTAAAAGTATATAATGATGTTTATCGATGCAATCGATATTATCAAAAAGCGTAAACTTAAACTGCATACTGGCAAAAATCGCGATAGTTGGTACCCCTTGGGGGTGCATCCTTCAGCAGTGAACGGCGACAGGTGTTTAATAGGCCTCTGTCTACTACTTCAGGGATAAAATATATTCTGTATGTATAACTTGAGGTTCTTGTCGATCTAAAACGTATTCAAAACTGGCTTTAAACACTTCGTATTTTGTAAACAATATTATTTACAAGACATATTCTGTCTGTTGTTATGTTATTAGTTGAAGCTCTGTCAATATTTACCAGTTACCGGAACTAGTTACAATGGGAACCATGGAAATAGCTGATATAGATAACAACTTGTTTATGAACACAGACTAGAATCTAAAATTAATTCCTTACAGTGATTTCTATTCAAGAAGCGGAACATTGGCTTTGCCAAAGGCCCTTTGTCATAATACGTAGTGTTATGCTGCTGGTTCCTGAACTCTCTCTCAAATTCCTTCACCGTTTGTGGATATGACTCAAAACATAACGGCCAACAAGTACATATTTATGTTGAGAACGTATCTAACTATACAAATAAACAAAATTAAAGTGTCTGTTTGTAATGTCAAAACAATAGGTTTTTTTTAATGGTCAACGGTTATTTGTTAATCTTCTAAACGGTTGGACCGATTTTGATAAGAATTTACTACCAGGTAGTAACTTAGGTGTAGTCACGGGGGGGGGGGGTCGTCTACTCGTCTGTAGATGACCCGAGGCATGTCGGGGCACCAGGGACTTCCTTTCTAGGGTATACCTGGTTCCCCGGCTATTAGTACCCGAGACGGCGTGCGGTTCGAGTCGGTTCGAGTCCGACATGCCACCGACAGGTGGTATCCGAGGGGATTTCCGCACGGAAAAAAAAAGGTGTAGTATATAAGGACTAACTTAGGCTATTTTTCCTTTATAAAAACCCTAAAAAATTTTGCACGATCCGTGTGAACGAAGTCCAACTGGTACCAGCTAGTACAAATATAAAAATGTTAAGTGTGTTCGTATATGCTTTGAAAATTCAAACAGTTCTGCATCGATTGAGCTTAAATTTTCACTCTATATACAAACCACTCCAAGGATTGTTTGCAATCCAATTTTGGTGTGCTACAGCGAAGTTTGGTAAAGCTTTTAGTATATAATTTATAGGAATAAATATAGAAAGTTAAATGATAGATTTGTTTATCAACGAGAAACAATAAGTACATGAAAAAGTAGCTCATTTATTAACTTATATATGGTAATGTCACAGGTCATGTCAATGTCAGATGTTGACATATCCAAGAAAAGTCTCCAAGTCAAAGTCACAAGCTTTTTTACAAAAGGATACATAACTTAAGGCCTTATTCTAAATCTCAGTTCGTGTCCACCTTCCAATCTCATATTGAAGGACTCAGCAGAAAGCTTAGCCGGGATGCACGTGGACTCACTCGGTGATATCTCCATGTGTAGCAAGAGCTGGTATGTGATGGCTTTCATTTCGCACAGAGCAAATCTCGATCCTGCAATTTAATTTCATACGGTATCTAATATCACAAAGTAAACTTTTTAATTAGTTCTTATTCTTAACAATTGTTAGATTGCCACCACTGATGTGTCACATTATTGCATCTAGAAGATTGTTGAGCAGTTGTGATATTATTGGAATAAATAAGATAGATAGACACTGAAAAATTCATTTATAAATAAGAAACTCATGATGGTGTAAAAACATTTTAACCGACTTCAAAAAACAAAAGAGAAGGTTCTTAATTCAGCTGGTTTTTTTTTAAATATTTGTTACGCGATATCTCCGGCAATTGCGGACCGATTTTCAAAATTATTTTCTCCTCCCTAGGCGTTATGTAGAGATGCATTATCTATCGCATATCGTGGAGAGAGAAAGAGAGATACAACGAACTACATTTTAAAAACACTCCTGGTATAATTATGTTGTATATATACATATCTTGATAGAGCTGTCTTAAACTGACACTGTCGATGTTATGAGAGCTTATATGCTATTATTTATAATCCCAAGATCTTGGCTGTTTTGATAGTAAATCTAACTTGTCATTAACTCACCCAAACAATTCCTTGGTCCAATACCAAAAGGCATATACGCAAACGGATTAATCTTATGTTTGTTCTCCTCAGAAAAGCGTTCAGGGTCGAATTTTTCAGGATTGGAGAAGAACTTTGGGTCACGGTGGAAGGCGTATACTGGGATGGTAATCCCTGTCCCTTTACGAACCTATACGAAAATATAAGGTTGAAGTAGGAATTTGTAACATAATATCTTCATCACATCATCACATCAACAGCCTTTACTAGTCCACCGCTGGCCCATAGGCCTCTCCTTAGGAATTATGTAAGGAGGTTTTGGCCTACCATACCACGCGGCCAGACGGGTTGGTATAGGGTTTGTTTCAAGTTCCTCCGCCCGAAGACGTGCGCGAGTGGCGCGAAGCCGCTCGCCGAGCCACCATGGTGAAATGGTCGTTCCGACTGGAGACTCCACGCGCTGGCTTCGCCGCCGTGGAGGCTCTCCAGCCGGTCATCGCCGAGTGGGCAGGGTGGCAGCACGGGACCCTTACCTTCCCGCTGACGCAGGTGCTTTCCGGGCACGGTTGCTTCGGAAAGTACCTGTACTCGGTCGGCGCAGCGCCGGGCCCTCACCGCAGTCATCGGAGTGGATCTCTCGCTGCCGGCCGTAGTACGCTCCATGGCCGGTAGCGACAGTTGTTTTACCGCGGTCGCAACCTTCTGCGAGGTAGTAATCTTGCGGAAGGAGGCGGCGGAGAGGGCCCGGGAGGACGACCTCCACTCGGACCCGATCCCCGCCTATCACAGCCTCATGCCGCCCTGAGAGTGGCCGCGGGTGGACGGGGTGGGTTTCCCCTCCACCCGCATTAGTTTGGCCAGCCGCGAGGGGGCGGCGTCCGTGTGTGCCGGACGTCGCCTAAAGAGAGGAAAAATATTGAGACTCAGCCCGCACCAGGAGCGGGCTGGCGCTAGGAGGGGTCCGGAGGGCAGACGCAGCGCCGACCAGCTTTGGAGCAAGCTGTCGGAAGTGCTCGTCGAAGAGCCACCTCCCGTCGAGGATCAGGCCCAGATATTTCATCTGGGCCCGAACCGATACGAGGACCGAGTTGACCACGATTGAGGCGCCAGGGGGTGGACCACGACGGGGCCCATGAAATAACAGGGCCTCCGTCTTATCTAGGGCCACCCGTAAGCACAGCGCCTCAATGCGCCCGACCACCAGGGAGACTCCCCCTGTGGCCAGGCGCGCCGCCTCTTGGAAGTTTGCCCCCCGGGCTGTCACCAGGGTATCGTCTGCGTAACAGATTACACAGAGCGCGAAGGGCCCAGTCGTACCCTATGTTCCACAAGAGGGGTCCAAGAACAGACCCCTGTGGAACACCGCACGACATTGGCCGACACCTCAAATTACCTTCTCGGTCCTCGTACACGACGGTACGCTTCTCTAAATAGTCTGCCACTAGCCGCCTCAGGTACTTTGGCACCCCATGATAGTGGAGTGCTTCCCTGATGCAGCTGAATGGCAGACTATTGAATGCGTTGGCGATGTCTAATGACACCGCCAACAGCACGCCGCCACAGCTCACGGCCTCTTCGGTCACGGCCCTCAGGCGCAACACGGCGTCGACTGTCGAACGCCCCGCCCGAAAACCAAATTGGGCGTCCGACAGATCGGGGCCCACCTCGCAGAGGTGCCGGATGATGCGGGCAGAAAGAACCCTCTCAAACAATTTACCCGCCTCGTCCAGCAGCACGATGGGCCTATAGGCCGCGACCGAATCGGCAGGCCGTCCCGGCTTCCTTAATAGGACCAGCTTCCCGCTCTTCCAGCACTCAGGGAAGCGTCCCGACGCCAAGCTAGCGTCGAGCAATCCCGGACGGGCGGAACATCATCCTCGTCTCCCCGTCGTCTCCGGCCAAGGAGGCCATCGCCGGGGGAGTGTGTTCTGCTCGTTGCGGGAAAAGGCCCTCAACCACTTCTCGCAGGAAGCTGGGCTGGAGAGTCTCCGTAAGGGGGGGCCCGACGCGCGGAGCTTTTGTCGCGCCGCGCGGTAAGGGCGACCCCAGGTGTCACGATTAAGACCCTCCAGCATCTCCTCTCTCTTTTCTTCTTTGGCGCGGCTAATGGCCAGCTTCAGAGTTTTCCGCGCCTGTCGGTACTCCTCATGAAGCCGGTCCTCCTCACCGTCTCCACGGTGACGCCGCCGACTGCGCGTGTAGGACCTCCGGGCACGTGTACAGGCCGCACGGAGGTCCGCCAGCTCCTGGAACCACCAGTAGACCTCCTTCCTTGGAGGCCGACGACCTCGAATGCGGGGCATGGCCGCATCGCAGATATGCGTAATCGCATCGCGAAAGCGACCAGCCCCCACGTCGACCTGCTCGGTCGGAGCCTGAGGAGACAACAACGAGTGAATTATGGCTGCCTCCTCTAGTAGGTCCCGGTTCAGTCTGGCAACAGCCCACCGCGGAAAGCGGGATAAACGCCGCGCCACGTGACCCCTACTGGAGTCCTGGGTCCGGGAGAGCTCAAATCGGATATACAGATGATCCGAGAGCGTCTCAACCTCTTCCAGGACACGCCAGTTCCTTACTCGTGCGGCGAGGGCAGGGGTAGCGAACGAAAGGTCCACTATCGACCCCCCCTGCTGTCACACGCACGTGTTGGTGGAGCCTCTGTTGAGAAGACAGACGCCCACCGAGGCCGCCCACTCCTCTACGGCCTCGCCCCTTGCGTCCGTCCTGGGGGAACCCCACGCAATGGACTTTGCGTTGAAGTCCCCCAGCACAAGGACGTGCCCAGTCACCGTATCGAGGTCTCCAAGCTGGTTAGGAAAACCTCGAAGTCGTTCAAACTCCGGTTGGGGGAGAAATAAACACCATATATGGTGATCCCCCCCCCACTCGACGGCAACATATCCAGTGCCCTTGTCTCTTAGCGACAAGGGCGGGGAATGAGCCGTCGTGGAACCGACGACTGCCACGGAGCCGTCCCAGTCACCCATCCAGTTTGGACGGGGAGGGACAAAATAGGGCTCCGCGACTACGGCGGCAGATGGCCAGCCTCAGAGTTTTCCGAACTTCTCGGTAATCCTCATGAAGCCGGTCCACCTCCTCACCGACCCCGCGGTGACGTCGCCGACTATGGGTGAGGGACCTCCGGGCACGTACACAGGCCGCACGGAGGTCCGCCAACTCCTGGGACCACCAGTAGACCTCCTTCCTTGGAGGCCGACAACCACGAACGCGGGGCATGGCCCCATCGCAAATCTGCGTAAGATGACACAAACCCTATACCAACTCGTCTGGCAAGCGTAGTATGGTAAGCAAAAACCTCCTTTCTAAGGAGAGATCTATGTCCAGCAGTGGACTATTAAAGGCTGTTGATGTGATGAAAAACATCTTACAATAAAATCTTTTTCGGCATTCTTGTTAGGTCTACCCAGATTATAATCTTTGGTGCACTGTCTGTCTAGAGCCACACCTGGTGGCCACAACCTTAACAGTTCTGAAATAAAACAAATGCAATAAAATTAATCTGGGCTTCAATTCTTCTATTTTAATATTGTATCAATAGACTGTCGATGGAATGTGGTCGGAATAGTTTTGCACTTTTTCTATTCTACTAACTATGTAAGACCAATGGCCTCGTCCGGCAAGTCATGGCAAACGTCAATCGATTATGTCCTTCACAGTCCCAGAGTCATACAACGTGAAAGTCAGGTGATGCGTCTGCGCGACATGTCACATACAATTACGTGGCTTCATAATTTAACATGACTGCACTTTTAATTACCTATTTAATAGTATGTTGTAGTGTATAAGTATACTGTACATCATATTTAAAGATGCATTTTGCAACTACATTATATTTGACAAGAGATATTTTTGCGTAGCTTTAATAAAACAGTTCATCCATGGTCATGGCGCAACAGTGGCGAAATATCGAACACTAATTCCCAAATATAATCATGGTAAACATCGAGTTTAAAATAACTTATCAAGTTAATGAAACTAGTTACTAGTTAATATTAGTTCGCTGCAAGGAATCATCAAATTATCTTCTTACCTGATACGACCATGTCCAAATACTTCATATTCTGTATAGAATTGAAGTCAAACTTGCCACCGTTCTTGACGTTGTGATCCCGAATCTCTTTTGCTAAACGATCTTGGATGTCGGGATTAACAGCCAACTCGTAGAGAAGGAAACACATTCCAGAAGAAGCAGTTTCGAAACCAGCGACGAAAAATAGCACAGCCTGAGCTATTATGTCGTCATCTGTCCATACTATAAAACGACAAAACTGAACTTTTACTTCAAGATTCCCACACGATCATTAGTTTAGTTCCTAGATGTATTTTAACTGTAATATGTATGTATTTAAAGAAAAATATAAATATATTCATCAGCAGCCTGGTTATCATAGAAAATATATCATCATCATCAACAGCCTATAATAGTCCACTGCTGGACATAGGCCTCTCCTTAGAAAGGAGGTTTTGGCCTACTATACCACGCTGGCCAGACGGATTGGTATAGGGTTTGTTTCAAGATTTCCTTCTTTTTGTAGTGCTGTTATCCTGTGCAGTTTGTTCCCTTAGTCGGCTCTTACGACACCCACGGGATTAATAGGTGACATTGCGTATTCTTAATCCGTCACCACACAGATAGAAAACATATGGATCACATGAAGCTGGAAAAAGTTTTGTTAAAATTGATATCATCTACTCGTAGTTTAGTAAGGAATAATTTATTACCTCTGTTGATTTCCTTTACGCCCACTGCAGATTCCTCAACTGTAGCAAATCCTGCAGCGTCATCCTTCGTTTTAACATTCTCATGTTTTAGACTTCCTGCAAAATATTATCTAAGTTTGAAAAGGATTATATTTTTTTTTATCAATTTTGTATCTCGAATATAAATGCCTATTAAAATGTTTGATGTGATATACGCATTTAATATGTAATATCTGATTTCGCAACTACCATCTGTAACCAACTTAAGCGCCGCGCGTGCTCTTTATTTAAATCAAAAAGCGCGATCTTCTCGGCTCTCTGTAACACACTTACAGTTCTGTTTAAGATATCCCTAAAACAGATTACTGGAAGGCGAGACGAAAGATGTTACACACTAAAACAGATATTACCTTTCCTAGCTTCCATAAGTAAATGGATCATATCGTGTCTAGTAATATTTTTTAGCTCTCGCTCTTCCATTGTACCTAAAATCAAGTTTCTAAAGAAATCCTTCGTCGCCTGCGACATGAAATCCCAATTGAAGATCTGAAAGAGATAAAAAAATTGTTTTTTTCTTATATTTTTACATTTTACCTGTCTACTTTTTGATCTATATAGTTACTGTTAAGAGTTTGTAGTTGTGGTTCCCACACAGGATAAATAATTTTATAATAAATACAAATGAGTTGGATTTTTTCTGTATGTATGTCGAATTATATAAAAGTAAGTTTATCAACTTCATCAACATCATCATCACATCAACAGCCTTTGATAGTCCACTGCTGGACATAGGCCTCTCCTTAGAAAGAAGGTTTTGGCCTACTATACCACGCTGGCCAGGCGGGTTGGTATAGGGTTTGTGTCAAGTTTTCCGTCTTTTTGCAGTGCTAGTGTCCTGCGTTGTTTTGCGCCCTTAGTCGGTTCATCAACTTGCCAAATTTGAAATCAGGTGGCCATGTGTCAGATGTGTTAAGTTAGAAACGTACCTTAGCCACCGTAGGTAAGTTCATTATCAGGAAAAACATCAGAATCTGGCGAAAACTGAATATTGAAGTCTCCTTCCCTCGTACATAAAATTCATTGTCCTTGTCTATTAGAGAATTGACCTTCAAGCCAAAGGCGCAGGAAGCTATGACGTCATTCGCGTATCGAGTAGTAAGGTCCTTGCAGTCAACATTAATATAATCCTCTGTAAAAGAAATATCCAAGTTCTGTACTTATTGTTTAAAATAATTTTATATCGGAAACTTATTTATTCATATCAGTCGAAGAACTAAAATTACTTAAGGCCTTAATTAAAATGACAATGGGCTTTCTATATCTCGAGGATTACATACAGTTGATGAACCATGAAAGCGACACGTTCGAAAGGGCAGGCCATTTGGAATAAACCCTTTTAAAAAAAAAGTTGAACCGACTTCAAAAAACACCGACAAAGAGCACTAAAAATTAAAAAATAATTACAAATCTAAGTAAAAAACTATAATAAGTACCCTCAATGTAACAGGTAACATTACAATACCAATAGTCCCTTCTAGTCGGTTTGAAGTCGGTGCCAAGCCAAATAGGTGCTTGATAGAATGTAGCGCGGCAGCTGCAACAGTCTTCATGCTGCGCAAAACATGTTGAACGAGCTAAAGTGGACGCACATCTCCAATTATATTATTATTTTGAATGCTTTAGTACGGAGTTGATACGTTTGCGCACGTAATTGATCTGGTTGGTCTTTATTAATTAACAAAATCTTCGATGTTTCATAAGAATTATTTTGAATTCTTAATTTTTCATTGTGCTAATATAAAGCTGACATAGACCAGTATTACTTATTGTGCCTCGAGCTTGGCACCGACTTCAAACAGACTAGAAGGGACTATTGGTATTGTAATGTTACCTGTTACATTGAGGGTACTTATTATAGTTTTTTACTTAGATTTGTAATTATTTTTTAATTTTTAGTGCTCTTTGTCGGTGTTTTTTGAAGTCGGCTCAACTTTTTTTTTAAAAGGGTTTATTATACCATTTTTAGTGTAGGATATGTTTGTAATGAGTAGATAAGTGCGATATTTAAAACACTACGTACCGTAATGTATAGTAACAAACTGTAGTTTGTTAGATTATATTAAATATTATATTAAATTACTGCTGGACATAGGCCTCTCCTACATTGGCGTCCAAACTGATCAAGATCAGCTTAAATTCTTTTCTAAGAAACAGTCAAATTCTTGTGAGTTGCAACAGAACAAAATAACTTCCGATTCCATTGACACTGACCTCGAAGGTGAAGATAGGGAAGCTTTAGTGAGACTACTCAACAAATATGCTCAATATTTTATAGAAGGAGTTCCAACTAGAAGGGTTAATACTGGTATGTTAGAAATTAACCTAGTTGACTCACACAAAATAAGAGTTTTTTCCAGAACTATTTTAATAAATTAAGAATAAAATTACTTACCAACGAAATGCGATGCCATCCATAGCAACAAAACGTCTATCCGAATTATTTTAACAAGATAAAATACAAAATTTCAACCTTTTCTTCTTAGTAATACAACGAAAATTACTGTGGTGACATAAATACTGTAAGTTCTCTGCGCATCACATCGCGCAGTCTCTGACGGTTGCCATGGTTTTAAAGAAATACTCGTAGCTAAAACACGTTATCGGGGCTGTCAAATTCCCAATAATTGTGAGGGTTTCCCTCGATTTCTCTAGGATCCCATCATCAGATCCTGAATTGGTGGTAATGGGACCAATTCGGGAGCATACCCTTTCGATTAAAAAAGAATTTTGAAAATCGGTCCACAATTGACGGAGAAATCGCGTAACAAACATACATTAAAAAAAAAATACAGACGAATTGAGAACCTCCTCTTTTGTGTTTTAGAAGTCGGTTAAAAAGAAAACATACTGTCGAATCAAAAACCCTCCTTTTTTGATGTTGGTTAAAAATCGACTAGCATGAAGCTCCTAGTCGAGACGAATCAAATGAGCACAAACACGGCGGAATTGCTTTATTTTATTACAGAGTTCCCATGGCTATTTACCGTCTCCATCATCAGACCCTGAATATCACATAGGATCGGAGTCCTTATTAATTAGACTCAAACACATTCAAATTCGATGGTATTTCATAATTGTGTTACAGAGATCCCATACTCCTAAACCATTCATCATCAGCTTCATCATCAGCTCAGCAACATCAGATGGTGACCATTAGATGCAAAAATCTACATAGATTAAGATAATTTCTGATAAACAGTGTATATGCCTACAAAATTTGAGGGTTTCCCTCGATTTCCCCAGGATCCCATCATCAGATCCTGACCTGGTGACAATGGGACCACCTCTGACGTATGACCTACCAAATAAAAAAAGAATTATTCAAATCGGTTTATAATTGCCGGAGTAATCGCGTAACAAATATACAAAAAAAAAAAAAAAAAAAAATACAGTCGAATTGAGAACCTCCTCCTTTTTTTGAAGTCGGTTAAAAAGAATTGACGGTAGACTAATAAAACGTTGGACTGTGGATATTGGTAACTGAACAGGGCAAGAGTGGATGATCCTCGGTGGAGATAAAGGATTATGGAAGGAAAAATAGGAGTCCTTTACTTTAACGAGCAGACAACTATCCCCAGTAGTACTAGTACTAGATTAACAAATTAAATGTCTAACAAACATTTAAACTGTAAAATATTATGATAGGGAAATAATAGATAGATAGGGGTCCGTGTGGTGACGAATTAAGAATACGGATTGTCACCACCCCTATTCATCCCGTGGGTGTCCTAAGAGGCGACTAAGGGAGCTAACGTAGGACAACCAGCACGGCAAAGAGAAGGAAAACTTGACACAAACCCTATACCAACCCGTCTGGCCAGCGTGGTATAATAGGCCAAAACCTCCTTTCTAAGGAGAGGCCTATGTCCAGCAGTGGACTATTAAAGGCTGGTGATGTGATGAGGGAAATAATGAACGTAAATTATTACAAAGGGTTTTGGCCGGATTCTTTTACGGCTGATCGATTCCATGACACCAACCCACTTTGGAAATGTAGGCTTTTGGCAAATTAGGAGAAAGGAAAACGGATAAGTGAGGGGAGGGGGTAGTAGAGGTCGTGTTTTGAGATTTAGATAACCACTTTGATAGGAGCATTAGCTGTCCATCCACAGATATATGTAATGTAATAAACATTATGTCGTGTGTCATGATGTATAACGGAATATCTACCTATCTAACTAAATTGAAACCATTCACATAACTAAAGTTACACCTTATTTTGTTTGCATTTAACTTATTTCTTTTTATAACGTTGGTTCGTTACTGAATTAGGTCCGGCTACATAAATGCAAGAGCTGCATAACGCCTGTTCTTCTAAAATGTATTAGTATACAAGAGATTGGTAAATACTTTATACTGAATTATTCCTACTTCAGAAATACATAAATACCTATTCGGAAACAAAATTGGAAAAATGGCCAAATCACTAGTGTTAAAATAGAAAAAATGCTTACTGTTTGAGTTTTTTATCTTCGATTTAAGCATTGCAATCATCTGGTCTCCAACTTCAACCATGAATGGTACCATCAAACGTATCTTGGAACTGGTGAACGCCGGACTCAATGTGGAACGCATATCTTTCCATTCTTGTCCTGTGTGAATTATGACAATTTTTTTAAAAATTAGATATACTCGAAAATTCTTCTACGATTATGTTATGTGAAGAATTGAATTGTAGAAAACTTACCTTTCATAGAGAACAGATTTCTAGCAAAAAAGGACTGAGTCTCACTAAAGAAGGAACGGTGGTCAAGGAAGTAATCGATGTCTTTAATAGTTATCTGCTTAACGAGTTCCAAGTCACGGATCAAAACCATCTCGTTCAGAAACTCGAATCTTCCGATAAACCTAAGAAGTAGAGATCCTAATAAGTAGAGAGATTAAGAAGATATTATACTATATACTTATGTTATATTTACGAACTATATTTTTTATAGAATTATTGGAACGAAGTTCCTTATCGCGCGTTGTGAAAGGGGGCTAGACGGAAAAATTCTCACGAAAAGTTGTAACGACACTTTTTATTTTGAATTGTCACTTGTCAGTCATTCAGCGCCATCTATCGAATAGATAGGAAATCATTACTTTTCATCTCAGTAAAATTAAAATTATTGTTCTTAGGTTCAGCAAAAAATATTGTATTCGACATCATTTCTCAAGGAAATTTTACCAATGTATAAATTGTTTCAATTAGAAACCAACTGAAAAATATGTAGGTAATAGCCGCTTTCATAGATGGCGTTGTAAGTAAAATCGTGTCGAATCAGTTTTACTCGATCGTCATAACTTATCCTATCCACAACCTATCGGGTGTGCCACGACACCACACGGCTTTCTAGTTCCCTGTTCTAAGCTCAGAGACAGCTCAGGTGAACTGTAGGCAAGAGTGGTGAATAGTAGGCAAGTGTAAAAAAAAACTTGTTTCTCTTTCAGTTGATAGTGGTTTTCTTATCAAATATTCTTTAGCCATAAGACCTATTTATTACATTTTAATATTTAAAAACTCGGTAACAAAAACTGTAGGACTTAACATTAGATTTTTCGAATTTTCCTTTGAACGGAGATTGAACTTTCTTACTAAGTGTGGTTGAACCAAGTCAGTTCACAGTCTCAGTAATACAGCATACTAGTTGACCCGGCAAACGTTGTTTTGCCATATACATTATATAAAAAAAAAATGTCAAAAAAAAAATTAGGTGTATGAAAAATAGATGTTGGCCGTTTCTCAGATCTACCCAATGTGCACACAAAATTTCTTAAAAATCGGTCCAGCCGTTTCGGAGGAGTATGGTAACTAACATTGTGACACGAGATTTTTATATATAAGATATACATTAGTCTGTAATAATCTTACCTCTCTTCTGGATACTTATTATACAAGCTAGAATGGGCTTCCGCAAAGTGTTCCAAGCGCAGTAATGTCCTTGTCATGTTGCCCACTAACGGGACCGGAGGGTCGTATTTAACGCCATACCATTTGAACCTTGAATAGACCTGACGGAGATATATCACCACAACTCCGATTAATACAACAGTCCAGATTAGAAGGATGATCATGATCTGAAGCAAAAGTAAGAAAATAAATATATGTAGAAAAATAAAGTAAATTTTTAACACCTACCCTTTGCCCAAAATCGGAGTTGATACAATGTGTGGAATTAGAATTGATTGCGTCTGCTTTCTTTTATGGCTGGCCACTTAGCTGACGCCAAATATTTTTGGTAATTTATTTGTTTTTACAATAATATGAGTAAGTTGAAGTAAAAAAGTTTTGGAGTGTAAAACTTATTACCAAGTTTAAACAAGTAATAAAAGCTAAATTACATATTCCATTATGATTACTACGATTAAAAAGTGTTGTGGCTTGTGGATGCCGAAAAACGTGAAGCTATTCTTGGAGAATTGTGTCAATTTTCGAATAATGAAGTATAGTGTTGACTCCCAACCGATCCACGACCGGTAAGCCTGATAGACAGTATTGAAATGTGTGTAAAATTTACACTTTTGCTACCTCATTTAAAGATTTATTCAGGAAAAACATAAGATGAAAATTACACAAGCATAACGGTTTTATACAATTTCTTTAAGTTTTACTGTTGGCACGATTTAAAGCAAGGATCTTAACTTTAACTGTACGTGATAATTGTTTACAGTAAACAATAATAAGTAAACAAACGTGTAACCTTTTCTATCTAAACAATGGCGATAAAAACGACTAAATGGATGGCGTCGTCGATGGTCGCCACACCGCTGAGTGTTGTGGGTCCGATCCCCACATGGGACACCACTTTGTGTGATCCACAAATTGTTGTTCTGAGTCTGGGTGTTCTTTGTGTCCGTTTCATGTATGTTTGTAAAAATCTCCTGCGACACAGGATATATATTCCTAATGCGAGAGTTGTGTTTTAAAAAATAATTTAATTTAATCTATGAATATCCGTATACAATGTCCAATGCCAAGGCCTATCGCTACAAGATCGGTTAGTTTGTTGAGTATGATAATAATGATAAAATAATTATTTAAGTGCAATTGCGGCCACTGTTGCTGTTATGTAACTCGTGAGATAATAAATACACCGTGGAAGTCTAAAAAGAGGTAGTATACCGTATGTAGTGTGTATTTCGAAGCACGGAGGTAAGTACGTACCTATTTTTTTATTATTATTACTACTTACTTTTTATTTTTCTAATCTAACTCGTTGTGTTCGTTACTCGTGTGAGATGACTATCCATGTGGATGTACATACGCAATGTCACCACCCCTATTCATCCCGTGGGCGTCGTAAGAGCCGACTAAGGGAGCAAACCACGCAGGACAACAGCACTGCAAAGGGAAGGAAATCTTGACACAAACCATATTCCAACCCGTCTGGCCAGCGTGGTATAGTAGGCCAAAACCTCCTTTCTAAAGGAGAGGCCTATGTCCAGCAGTGGCCCATTATAGGCTGTTGATGTGTTTTCGTTACAATTGTGAGCGTGTGGGACACGCCCTCTATTGTAAAGAATACACCGATGTATGAAAAATTAAACTGTCTTGGAACCCGCAACGAAATCACTCAGAAGAAAATATGAGGAGTCGGCAATATAATAAAAACATAATTAATTGTTATTATTTTATTGGAAAAAACAACTCCCGCACTAGAAATATGTCCTGTGTCGCGGGAGATTTTCTTTCATGAAACGGGCACAAAGAACACAATAATTTGTGGATCACAAAAAGTCTTGTCCCATGTTAGGATCGAACCCTACAACACTCAGCGCAGTAGGAAGCGGTGAGATCACAGTTTAAAACTACTACGCCATCCGTGCAGACATTACTTCCAAAACAGACTACTGTACTACATAATATTCTGTTCAACCAAATGGATATTATGGACTTGTTCTATCTTTTTGTTTAGTGACGGTAGCAGCATCACCTGACTGATGTTCAACTCCTCTGGAACTAGCAGTAAAAGTGGGGCCCCTAACTGACGCGGTACACCTGGGGCCTTGCCCACTCTGCCTAATAGTTAATACGGCCCTGTATACAATTTGTAACAAGAAGGATAGCAGCGGCAACATAAATATCCCGTCGATATTACTCGTGGCAGTGCCATACTTCGTCACGTCTGGGCTGGCTCCACTGCAGTGATATCACAGCCTCACAGAAAACTGAAATTAAACTCTTTCGTTGCTTTTCATCGTGTGAGTGGTGTACTGGCGAATAAACAACCTCCACTGACTTCAGTGGGAGGGAGTGGTCTTCAAAGGGCGGTCACTTATCTCTAAGTAATGGTAAATGTATGTCCCTTTATGTTTTAGTAAAGCAATAACGAATTTATGAAGAAGCTGAATTAGTTAACAAATAGCTCAAGAGCATTCATAGTTTTTACAAACAAAGGTTTTACTTAATGAGTTTCTTCAAAGGTTGACTAACGGGACAGATCTTTTCACCTTTAACCCTCATGGAGGTCCCTTGACTAATGCAAAACTAATTAAGGATTTCCCGAAACACAAGCGAGGTTAAGCAATCATAGTAAACTCAAATTAAGTCCTGAACATGTAGTTGCTGCTTTACCGATTTGGCAGTACTTTTCCTATCAGATAGACAAACAAATTTTATTACTAATACTTACCTCAAACTCTACTAAATTCAAAATATTAGAATCAACATTAATCTGATTATTAGATAATCACCGACAGTTTTTGGTATACATGTAGGTATATACGTTCTACGGGTGTTTCATAATACGATAAAATATGAACTAGAAATATTTGAAAGTACTTTCATAGATAAATAATACATTTTAAATACAATCCAAACAAAACAAACTTCAGTAATCTAATCTCCTGTTATCACACTAAATAAAATATCTATTGTGAGTACTAACCGGCTTTTACTGTTATTTACACCTCACACAACTTTTCGTATCGAGCATATATTTTCAACTAAGTACGCGTCTGGCAGCGAACGAGAAATGGACAGAACTGAAGTCGGTCATGTTTATTTATTTTGTTTATAATCGCGAATCACATTAACGATTTAATAGAGGCAAGTGTGACATAGAAGCGTCGACGCGTATCACTTAAAACAGTATTAACGAGGACTGGTTAACAAACGATTGCATAAAGTTGGGAACCTTGGGAAATTTAACAATCGACCCCCTAGAGCCATGTAATCATTTTATTAAAGTGCAAAGCCCTCTGCTCTCCTGCTCGTATTGTTGGTTGAGACGTTGGAACTTAAAAATCGCGTTTTAGTAAAGTTGCATCCTGTTTATAAAATGCTGTTAATTATTTTTTTTACTCTTAATATAAAAAAGTAAATCGTACGTACCCATCGCAATGGGTTGGGGATATTGACCTCCGATTTCATCAATCAAAATAAACCGGTTCTGTATAGTAGTTGAGTAATTACTGACACAAAAAGATAATAACGTAAAAATGACGATACTTAATCAAAATAAGTATAAGGAAAAACATTGGTTGGAACGCTTTTTGGAAGTGATTTATGTGAATAATTTGACTTGTATATGAAAAACATAATTCGTTATGGGTAAACCTTGATCGAAAGAAGCTAATAAACCTTTAAGCAAAAGCAAAATACAAAAAAATATTGTCGTAAGTCTCGTTATATGATTTATGTGGTGTAACGGGTATTACACTAATAAATGTTTCACGTAGTAGAACACAGTAGGAGGAATATACACTTCTCTAGTATTTTATTCCCTTGAATGAACTTCTTGGCCTATAGGGGTGAGGACACAATGAAACTCAAGTTAACGGACAAAGTATTTATTGTGTTACTTCAATATTGCTAGCCTAGTGCTTTTTAAAATCAAATAATTACATTGACCTTAAATCTAAATTACCGAAACGAAACCATAGCACGATGCATGAAGGTAAGTACTATCAACGCCATCTATCGAACTTCGAGTAAACTTTTATACACTTCATTAAATTAAAATATTCACCATATTGGATTAAGAATTCAAACTTAATACCAAATTACACGTAAACATTAGCACAATAGTTGTTGTTGATTGGTTAGCGTATCGCTGGAGAACGCTTGGATAGATTTATTTGACTAAATCTTTGTTTTCTAAGTTAATAATATAATTATAGATCGAGCATTTATTACTATAATCATAATTTTATATTACAAAAGAAATTGGTTTAATGTTACTGTACGCACGGCGCACTTAATGACACCACTGTCGCGTCACTGGGGTGATTCGAATAAAACCACCGTATCGCACTATACTGTATATATTTACACAAATATAGAACCAATACATGTACCTTGAAGGGTTTAATTAACAATAAATCTCTGGTCTATTTACGTTGCCATGTGAACATAACTATATCGCGATTCAGAATTCGTGTGACACGCCATCTATCGATCGATCGACAAACTAAATTATTGTCACATCTAAACATGCCGCCCGCCATGGACAAATTATGAAGTTATACAATCTTAAAATGATAATTTGTCCATAATTCCTGTTTAAGTATGGTGCTCACACGGCAGTTAAAACACAAAATTAAAAAACAAACAGTTCAACGGTAAATTATTTAACAATATACCAAAGCTAACCAAGCAAAAAAAAATTATACTAGCCGGTGCTTCTTACATAGCAAAAATAAACCTTACAAAAAATTATTAACTACTTAACATATAAACATACTAATTACTGTACGGTGTTAATAGGTAATACACATAATTTTACAACGGGTCTTTTTATTACGGCGTTTTTACACCTTAGGCTCACAACGCGTGTAACTCCGTCCAAACCCGGATGTTTTTGTTCTACTATTCCAAAAAGCCATTGAGCAGGCGGTAGGCCGTCCTCCTTTACCAAGACCATGTCACCAATTGCAGGTTCTGGAACCTGATACGTCCACTTGTACCGATTTAGGAATTGTGCAAGATATTCGTGCGACCATCGTCG